GGGGGGGGGCGGGACGACACCACACATACACACACACACACACACACTTACACACACTCATCTCCCACAAACACCCTCCTCCTTCTCCTCCTCCACTTCTTATCCCCTCTCCCTTCCCTCTTCTACACCAACACCACCACGCACACATACCCCTTCTCATGTCCGAGTTCGAGTCGTCGCTGCCGCTGGGGTGGTCGGCCCATACGTCGGCAAGCCATGGCAAGACGTACTACTTCAACGAGTTCACTGGGGAGACCCGGTGGCGGAGGCCGAAGCCTGCGGCACCGCTTAATCCGCATGCACCTAACGGCAAGGTCCGTGTCTCGCACATTCTCGCCAAGCACGCTGGCTCTCGTCGCGCTGTCGCCCGTGGCGAGCCCGTCACACGCTCGCTGGACGAGGCCAAGGAGCGCATCGCCCGCATCCGTGACGACATCGTTGCCAAGCGCATGACCTTCTTTGACGCCGCATACAAGTACTCGGACTGCTCATCCTCAAAGCGTGGCGGAGACGTCGGCGAGTTTGTCCGCCAGGGCCAGATGCAGGAGGCCTTTGCCAACGCCGCCTTTCAGCTCGAGCTGGGCGAGCTCTCAGACGTCGTTGTCTCAAAGTCAGGCGTCCACATCATGGTCCGCACCGCATAAACAGCCCGCCACCCACAAAGTGCTTCCCACCAACCGCCGCCTGTCTGTCACCCATCACCGCCTATCTCATTCGTAGCCCCCCCCTCCCCCCATCCCTGGTGCTGCTGCCGACGAAGATCAGCACTGCCGTCCTTGGCTCCCCCCCACACACACACCCCAACCCCAACGCCACACCTCTCTTCCCTAGCATGGCTACCCCTGTCCCGTGTCCGGCTTACGCAGGCCTTGTGGGGCATATGGGCGTGTCTGCAGCCATTGCCCTTGGGTGTAAGTGCTGTGGCGGAGGGGGTGAGGAGGGGGGGGGAGGGGAAGGGGGGGGGAGAGGGGGGGGAGGGAGGCGGTGACGGGCGCATGACTTGCCAGGCCAGCACACGGGTCACGCCCTGGTCACAGCCACCACAGCCACCACAGCCACCACAGCCACCACAGCCATCACAGCCACCACAGCCATCACCTACACCTACAACATTTCTCTCTCTCCCTCTCCCTCTCGCTTGCTTACTCACTTGCACTCATGCTCTTCCTCATCCCCCCCTCCTCCTCCCCCCCTCCTCCCCTCACAGGCCTCGGCTCCGCATACGGCACTGCCAAGGCCGCATCGGGCATCGCCTCGGTCGGCGTTCACAACCCAGCATCGTCATGCGGGCACTCATTCCTGTCGTCATGGCTGGTATTGTCGGCATCTATGTACGCCCTTGTCCTGGCTCTTTCTCCTCCCTCTCTCCCTCCCTCCCTCCCTCCCCCCCTCCCTCCTCCCTCCCTCCCCCACACACACTCACACAACCCCTCTCCCTTGTCGTCTTCTCCATCCCGCGCACACACATACATAGGGCCTCATTGTCGCTATCGTCCTCTCCTCCTCAAGTACGCTACGCCCACCTCTTGCCCCCCCCACACACACACACACACAGACACACACACGCCCTCTCACTCACCTTTCTATCCGCTCGCACAGTGGAGCCTGATCAGTATCCCGCTGCCAATGCGTTCCTTGATCTCGGAGCAGGACTTGCCGTTGGCCTCTCTGGTATGGCCGCAGGCATGGCCATTGGTGTTGTTGGCGACTCGGGCGTCCGCGCTTTTGCCCAGCAGTCGCGCGTCTACGTCGCCATGATCCTCATCCTCATCTTTGCTGAAGCCCTTGGTCTCTACGGCCTCATTGTCGGCATCGTCATGAACGGCCAAAAGCTCGGCACCGGCTCGTTCACATGCAATCACGGCTTGTAAACCCCCCGTACATCATCCACTGTTTTACCAAGGATGTGCCCCGCGCCACGAGAGCGGTGGCGGTCGCTGATCACCCGTCCGTCCACCACCTCACCCTCATTCCCCATTCCTCACCATTCTCCCACACTCCATACATGCTCCCGCCACTACGCCACCTCATTGACGCCCATGGAACAACAGCCCCGACTGTGCTGCAGCGGACTCTGGCTACCCTTGTCAAGTACCTGGATAACATCGCCTCGGCACCCAACGACCTGCGCTTCCGTCGCATCAAGACAACCAATAGAGCCTTCTCCGCACGCATCGCTCCGTTTGGAGATGCGCTGGCCGTTCTGGCCTCTGCCGGCTTTGTCGCCCACTCGGATGATGCGCTTGTGCTGCCGTCGGATGCTCCACTCGAGCCTCTCCGTGCTGTTCTCGACGACGTCCGTGCTGCTCTGCCCATAGCCGCCGATCTCGTTGCCGCTGCAGCCGCCAGCGATGCAGCCGTCGCCGCGGCCATGCGTCAGCGGGCAGTAGACCGCAACGATCAAGCTCGCCGTCATGCTGATCGCGTCCTGGCGGCGAAGACGCACTCACGCAAGCGGGCGTCGCTTGGCAGCACAGTACTTGTACCTGCTCCCCAGTCCTTTGCCGGCCTCGCCAACCAGGGCGCCACCTGCTACCTCAACGCCTACTTACAGACCCTCTTCCATTGCTGCGCCTTTCGTGCCCTCGTCTACGCCATTCCCTTTGCGGGCTCGAACTCAGTCATCGGTGCGCTGCAGCTCCTCTTCTGTGAACTCGAGACGAGCAGATCAGCCGAGGGCACCTCGCGTGCCTGTGTCTCTACTCGCGGCCTCACAGACGCCTTTGGCTGGTCGAGCGCCGAGCTCGCCACACAACACGACGTTCAGGAGCTCTCGCGGGTCCTTCTTGCAAACATCGAGGACAAGCTCGCTGGGACCGAGCTTGCTCCTGCCGTCGCCGATCTCTTTGCCGGTACCCTCACCACCACCCTCGCCTCGCTGCCTTTGGCTCCAGCCGGCGAGACCTTTGTCTCGTCTACTGATGAACCGTTTTACGACCTCACTGTGCCAGTTGCCGGCCATGCCTCGCTCGAAGCTGCCCTCAGTGTGCTCTTTGCTCCAGAGACCATGGACGGGGACAACCAGTACGCCGCGCCTGGCCTCGGCCTCCGCGACGCGACCAAGCGCACTCTCCCGTCGAAATTGCCGCAGCTGATCCAGTTCCAGCTTGCCCGCTTCGCCTACAACCCCACTGAGGGGCGAATGGCCAAGATCACGTCACGCTTTTCGTTTCCCGTGCAGCTGGACATGCCCTGCGCTGCTGCTCCGTCCCGCTCCTACAACCTCTTTGCTGTCCTTGTCCACGCCGGTGGCTCGCCGGCCGGAGGTCACTACTATGCATTTATCCGCACAGGTGATAGCGACTCTGCTGAGAGTTGGATCAAGTTCAACGATGCTGTTGTCACGCTTGCGGAGCCTGCTGAAGCTCTTGATGCCAACTTTGGCGGAGGCACGTCGTCGGCGTCGGCCTACATGCTGCTGTATGCGGCAGCCGACGCCGCTGATGTTCTCGGCGCGGTCCCTCCGCCACCAACTGCCCTGGTCGATGCCTTGGCGGACGCGAAGCTTGTCGCTGCTCACGCTGCAGCAGTTGCAGCCGCGCCCGAAGTCGTCGTTGTTGATCTCGAATCTCTGCATGCTCAACTGGTGGCAGTAGCTCCAGCTTGGAGCCCATCTGCGCTGTTTGCCACCGCACTCGTCAACGCAGCTGCAGCCTCGCCACGTGTGCCGCTTCTTCCAGCGCTTCTTGACGAGCTGCTTACCGCTGGCAGTCTTTGGGCGCTCGATCTGCACCGCTGCTGCTGGAATATGATTGCCGCTCCGTCGGCCACCTCCTCACGAGTTCCAACGGTCATCGTCCGCGGGTCAGGCACCGACTCTGGCCTTGTAGCTGTTCATCTGTTTAGCGTCACCGCGCGAGGCCCGCCGCGAGTCACGGATGCTTGGCTGGCAGACGCTAATCCAGACGAGCCATCTGTTGTTCATCGAATTGAGGCATGGTTGGCTGGCCAGCAGCTCGCCCAAGCTGCGGTTGCAGTGGCTGCTCCTGACGGCAAGATTCCCACCCTGGAGTGGGCTGCCAATCCGGAAGAAGGCTGGAAGGCAGCATGCGCTACAGTAGTAGGTGCCGCCAACGCTCTGCCGCCCACACTCGCTGTATTTGCTCTACCAGTGTCGGAGAGCGAGCCTCTTGGCGAAGCCATCGCCGAACTCAGCGCAGAGCTCACACGCGTCTCAGTCACGTTTGAGCCGCGCGATGCTGTTCGCTCCACTGCTACCCTTCGCCTCGGCCGAGAGACCACACTAGCGACTGCTGCGCATGCTCTTCACCTCGCGCTGGAGCTGGATGCCATGTCACAAGTGGTTCTTGTCGGTCTCAACGCTGCCTCCGGTAAGCCGCGGAGTCGTCCATTCACCGAGCCCGACATGACGCTGGGCGACGCACTGGAGCGCGGTGCAGGCGTGGCGCGGCTGTTTTACGACGTCCGTGCTGGCGACCGCATCGTCGAACTTGATCACGGTGCCCGCATGCTCGCGCGAGTCAGCCTCCCGGCACCACCGCGGCTTGTGGAGGTCCCGGGCCGAACAGCTGCTCAACTATTGGCTGCAGCAGGCCTTAACGGTCAAGCTGGCGTGGGGGTCGTCCAGGCCGGCGCGGTACTGCACATCTTTGCCGGCGCTGACGTGCTCACCACGCAGCTCAATGATGGCCGGTATCGCGGTGCCAAGCTGTGTCTGGTCCCAGTCGTCTGCCACCCCGATGTGACCCTTCCGCTCGATGCCCACGCCACCCGTTTCGCTGCCGTAATCCAGGTCGTTGCCCTTGGTGCACGATACGAACTCGTCGACGACGATTTCATGGCAGTTGCCCTCCCGCAGAGTTGCGGTGATGCCACTGTCGAAACTGTGTGCGATCTCGCAGGTGCCGGACCATCGGCGCAGTGTGTCACCTGGCCCTTGCCGCCGAACAAGCCGGAGCCGCTGGCGCGATCAGAGCGCGTTGCCGGAGCGCTGACGGTGATTGGTGTGGTGTTGCGGCATGTGGCAGACCACGGCGACAGCTCCAGACCGGCACGCGATCTCGCTGCACCACTCACAATCCACAACTAGCTCGGCACGGTGCAACACTACTCTGGGATGGGATTCATTGGGTTGACGCCGGTGGTGGCGGCGGGCGGGCGCGCTCGGCAGCCAGCATCTTCATGGTCACATCGTAGACAAGGGCACCCATGGCGGCGACGTCGTCGACGATCTCGACGTCGTCGCTCGGCTTGGTGGCGGTCTCGCCGGCCGCGGCAAGGCGCAGCGCAGCCGGCTTGATGGCGAGCTTGGCGTCGGGCGCGGCAGCGAGAAGCTGAGTAAACGCCGGCGCAAGCTCATAGCAGTCGGAAAAGAGCGCGGCGCGGCAAAAGACGTAGAGGCCGAGGCGGGCACGCGAGAGGGCAACGACCAGACGGCGGACATCGCGGACGTGGCCAATGGCGCGGGTCCTCACCAGCGAGAGCAGCACAAAGTCGGCCTGCTGACCCTGGAACTTATCAACGGTCGAGATGGCGGCCGGCATGCCGTACAGCGGGTTGTCGCCGCAACGGGCCCGGAAGACGTCTTCGAGCAGCGCACGCTGCCCGTTGTACGTGGTGAGGACGGCGATCTGGTCGCCGCGGTATCCGCACGCGCGCATGAACATAAACACAGCGGCGGCGTACTCGGCCTCGCCGAGATTCTGGTAGTAGTGCGGCGACGGGGTCCTCTCGCCCTCACCCTGGTAGTCGTCGACGTTGACGAGCTGGAAAGTGTGGGCAAAGCCTGGGTTAGGCGCCGCAAACCGCGAGTTGGCTGCCTCGACGTGCGGCAGGTCGCCGAGCTCTGGGTACCGCCACGAGAAGAGGGATCGCAGCTCGGGCCGCATCCGGCCCTGTGCGTTGAGGACGACAGCCGGAACGCCGAGCCGAATCAGCCGGGCAAACATCGACTGGTCGAGGTTGCCGGCCGAGGCCAGCAGCGGGTTCTTCACCACCGGCGGCAGCTGGTGATGGTCACCGATGAGGGTCACCCGCTTCAGCCGGTGGCCGTCGACCACGTCTGAGCTCTGCAGCATGAGTGGGATAAAGGTCTCGATCTCGAGGATCTGGCCGGCCTCTTCCATGACCACGTTGTCAAACTTGAACCGCAGCTCTTCCACGAGCTCTGGCCACTTGAGAGCGGCATGGGTACAGGTCATGGCGATAATGCGGGCCTGCGCCATGACGAGGTGGTTTCCGCGGTCACGGTTCGACCGCAGCAACTCAAACGGCCGCGTCTCCTCGAGTTCGACGAACAAGTCGTCGATGTGGCCCAGACAGACGTCGACTTGCGCCAGGGCGGCTTCGGCTGTTGTCACAGGCGTGGCGTCGGCAAAGCTGCTGGCAAGGTCGACACCGTCAAAGAACGGCTTGAACGGCATGGCATCAAAGACCTCGCCGGCCGACTCGGCAGCCGCCACGGCCTCGCGGAACTTAGCAACCGCTGGAGCGACCTTGAGAAGGTAGAACCGCGACGCGGCGTCGACCGAGTACGCGGCCTCGTCAGCACCGTTGGCGTCAGCCCCGCCGGCGCGTGCCAGCATTGCCACCCGCTCCAGGAGATACAGCCGCCGCTCGAGCATGTAGTCCACCCGCCCGTACTTGGAAAAGTCGGCAGCGAGGCCGAGGTCTTGGGTCCCGTGCCCAAGGCGGACGCAGTGCTTCTCGTCGATGTCGAGCTGGACAATCTTGGCAAACAGCTGGTTGAGTGCCTGGTTCGAGTGGGTGATGAGGAGCGTCCGCTGGCCCGGGTAGTTGTGGTACAGCGTGTTGACAATCTGGACGGCCACGTCGGTCTTTCCGGTTCCGGGCGGGCCAACCACAACGTTGAGGCCTGGCGAGAGGCCGCCGCGGATGCCCTCGACCTGGCGCGGGGTGAACCGCACGGTGTTGGCCTTCCACACTCGCTCTTGCGGCCACGGCGAGAGGATCGGGCGCGGGCGGGTGCGGATGGCGGCGGAGTTGGCGGCCTCGCCTGCGCCAAACTGCACCATGTACGGCGGCGGGCCTCGCTCGCCCGCCCATGTCACCTGCATGCCAAGCGCCTCCAGCACGCTCGTTGCATGCTCGGCGTCGAGAAAGGTGTCAACAAAGTCGAGCCAGCCACTTGCGTGTCCGCCGGCGGTTGCCTGCTCGGCCCACGGGGTGGCGAGGAGATTGGCGTAGTGGGCCGAGGCCGGCGAGCCAAAGCCGAGAAAGATCTCGTGAAGCCAGGCAGGAACCGATGACGCTGCGTTCATCAGCGCGCGCATGGTGTGGAGGACGGCCCGAAAGTTGTTCTCCTTGGGGTGGCGCCGCATCAGAAAATTGAGGCGCGCGTACTCTGCGGCGACAGCGTCGTCCGAACCGAGTCGCGCCACGTCGAGGTAGTACTGCGCGGCGTCGACTGCGAGGACGATGTTGCGAACGCCACCGGACGGGACCCTTCCCTCGCGGCCGGCATCCCAACGGTGCGGGTCAAACTGCGGGAGCGGCTCCTCAGCCTCGTCGGTGATGTTGAGCACCTCACCGCCGCGGATGAGGTTGACGCCACAGACCTCGCGAATGGGCGCGCGTGCCGGGTCCGGCCCTGGAGCTGCCGGGTTGTGAAACTGGTCCGCCGCCGGCTCGCAGGCGACGAGGAAGACAACCTCGCGCCGCCGGAGGCCATCCCACTCCTCGACCACGTCCGGGCGCAGGCCGTGGAGCGAGACGCTTAGCGTCACGCTCACTTTGCGCGGTGCATGCGAACCGAGCTTGGGCGGGAAGATGCGCCGGAGCCGAAGCGGCGCGCTCAGCGGGAGGCCCATCTTGGCCCACCCGGTGAAGGCTGTTGTGCCGTCAGGCGCCCGCCGCGGCTTGGCCAGCCGCAGTGTGTCCTCCAGATCATCGCGGATCTCCGAGTTGGCCTCGAGCCGGAACAGATGAAAGTTACGGAGCAAGTAGTCGTAGATCGAAAGGAACTGCAAGTTGAGCTTGGGCAGCGCCACCGAGCACGGCGTCCAAGTCAGCTTGTCGGTCTCTGAGCTGGAGCCGCCGGGGCGGGTGCTCGGCACACCGCGGTTCCTCTTGCCCTTACTCTTGCGGGCGCTTCCGCCAAACCCAATGTCGTACACTGGGTTGTACAAGTCGTCCTGAGTAGGCATGAGTGGGAGCTTGTTGATGGCCTCGAGCTGCGAGTCACGAGCGCCGTACTCAAACACCATGAGCGCCAGCAGAAGCTCCCGCCAGGCGTCGGCGTCGGCGTCAGTGACACCAGCGTGCATCTCGGCAAGGAGCGGCTCGTCGACAATGCGAAAGGTGAGGAGAACGTCGGCAATCTGGTCGTCGGTGAGCGGAAGGAGCGCGTCGCGGAGCGCAGCTTGCTTGGCAAAGGTGGCGTGATTGACAAGCGCAAGCTTGTGGATGTGCGGGGCCGATGAGAGTGCGGCGGCCGACTGCGCGGCTGCGATGCGGTCCGACGCGCGCGCCTCGGCCTGCAACGGCGTCAGGGCGGCACCAGTGTAGTCGTCGAGCTCAAAGCCAACGTAAAAGTCGAGCAGGTCGAGGAGCGAGGCCAGCTGCGGGAGAGCTGTGACAACCGGGAGCGCCCGAAGACGGACCGGGAGGAAAGAGGAGCGGACGTAGGTGTTGAAGAACCGCCTCGTCGGAAGCTGGCCAACCAGCTCGATGAGGAGGACGACAAAGTTTTCGACCAGGGCCTGGACAGCGACCGAGTCGGTGGCGCCGACTGCGGTCAGCATGCCCAGCACGCCCTGCACAATGTCCGGGAGCCAGTTGGCGGCGCGAGCGAGCGCGGCGCGCTTGGCTGGCTTGCCCTTGGGCCCGAGCGTCTTGTTGATCTTGGCCCAGACCTTGGCAAGGTGCGGGAGGGCGTCAAAGAGATTGTCAAGCGCCCGCGCCCGCGCCGGCGCTTGCACGCGGCTCCACAGCGGGAGCGAGACGAGAGGAAGAAACTCGGCGGAAATGAGGTCGTTCTCCAGCGAAGCCGTGACGTTGACAAAGAACTGCAGGTACCACACAACTTCGGCCGGCGCGAGCTGCGCCAGCCGGTCGGCCACGTCGAGCACGGCACTGAAGAAAGCCTTGAAGATCGCCGGCTCGCGCGAGGCAAAGACGGCAAAGGCCGGAAGGCCGAGCGAGGCCTTGAGGTTGACCATGACAATCATTGAGAACAGCATGCCGCGGCTCTCGGTCTCGCCGGGGCTGTATCCTGGCCAAAGATACTCTTCGAGGTACTGAGACAGCTCCAGCACCTTGGCCCTGCTCTTCCACTCGGCCGACACACCGCCGTTGGTCCCTGCCCGGCTCAGCAGCTGCTCGGCGTAGATGCGGTCGACGAGGGCGAGGTCAAACGCCGGCGGCTCATCCGCCCGCCACTGGCTCTTGGCCAGCACCGTCAGCTCGTCGGTCTCGATCTCTGCCAGCGTCAGCCCACCGCGCCGTTTCGGCTGGCCTTCTTCGTCACCTCTGCCCGCCTTCTGTCCGCCGAGCGGCGCTCTGCGCTTACGGCTTCCGCCGCCACCACGGCCACGCCCGCCGCGTCCGCCACGTCCGCCACGTCCGCCACGTCCGCCACGCCCGCCACGTCCGCCACGTCCGCCACGCCCGCCGCGTCCGCCACCACGTCCGTTCGACTCGCTTCTTCCCCTCCGCTTAGTACCTGGACCTACACACACGCATGCAGAAGGAGGGGGGGAGGAGGATGATGACGGTGTGAGCATGAGAAAGGGGGGAAGGGGAGGAGAGGGAAGGGGGGAGGGGAGCGGGGATGGCCAGTGACGTACCCGCCATGGAGAAGGAGAGAGAGGGAGTAGTGTGTGGTGTGTGTATGTATGGTGTGGGTGTGGGTGTGGGTGTGGGTGTGGGTGTGGGTGTGGGTGTGGGTGAGGGAGAGAGAGAGAGTGGTGGGTATGGTTGGTGT